TAATTTTGAAACTTGGGGTAAAATGTGTTGCTTAAAAATCAAAGCAGTGCTTTTAGATCTTCATGTATTTTAAACTTAAAAGCAAGAACTGGGGACAAGTGATGAAAAATAAAAGGACCAAAAGTTGGCAGATCGCAGCAAGAGTTAATGAGTAATATTCATAATTTTTCATAATGAAATTAGGCAGTTGTAGCTCAGCTTTTCATGGAGTGGTAAAATAGTTACTTTTGTGGGGTTTTTTGGTAAATCCTCAGCTGAGGATGTTTTTCCATTGATTTTTAGAGATCGTGGAAGGGAGGAGGGGAAGACAGAGCTAGAAACATCTGCTGGTTGCCTCCCACATGAGGCCCCTCGGGTTATACAAATTGAACTGGCTAGGGTGAAACTTGTTACTTTTTAAAGTGTTTAAAACACTGGAAACTACCTTAGTATTTCAAAAGTGAAATCTTCCAAGAATTTTTAAACTAAGATAAGGACATTTATGCTAGCGGCCTCAAGGCTAATTAGAGGCTGCTCTGTCAAAAGCAGAGCAAATTTCCTTTTATCTGCAATGAAGTAAAATACCAGGATTTTGGCAGAAGGGGGTGCTTATCAATGTTTCTTTTTTTCTAACAGTTGAAAGAATTTCTATATGTTACTTACTCATCACCATTTATTGATTTTGCTACATAAATTTATATTGTGTATGTATTTTTTTTAAACTTTGACAAAGTTGCAGACATGCCCTTTCACCCTCTAATGCAGCGGTTGCTCATTACTGGAGACATTCTTAGAGAATCACAGAACAATTAAAAATCAGGAGAACTTACTATGCAATCACAGTTCATTTTGATGCTTAAATCATCCCAGATTTGACCAGTAGTATTTCCAGGCTGGTTCCTCTGCATGTTTGGTATGTTTTGCATCAATTGAACACTTAATATACTTCAGTTCAAAAAAGACTGGGGGCTTCTCTTAGACTTTTTCTGTCCCAGCCCTGAAATTGGGTATATCTCTAAGGATTTCTGGAACCTTTTAAGGGGAATGGTATTTAGAATCCAAGTCTGGGTGCTGAGTGTGCTTATTTCTGGGATGTCCTTGTTTCAATAGACTTAGAAAACATCAGAAACTAACACACTGGATACTTCAAAGTTAGTGGAACACAATGTGATTCCTTACCTTGCCCAAGTCCATATTTATATCTACCTTCATGAGTAAAAAAAATAACACCTAATTTTAAGACTAACCCTGTAGGCCCTAAACAAATGATTGACATATTTAATGGACATTGCAATAAAGTAGTTCTTACATTGCAAAGTAGAATGGTTAACAGCCTTTAGAGTCCATTTATGTTTATTCAGGCTGGTTTTTTAAAAATATTTTTTTATTGATTTCAGAGAGGAAAGGAGAGGGAGAGGTAAAAACATCAATGATAAGAGAATCATTGGCTGCCTCCTGCACGCCCCCTACTGGGGATCGAGCCTGCAACCTGGGCATGTACCCTTGACCGTAATGGAACGTGGGACCATTAATAAGGTGTGCGTTCTAACAAAATCTTGAGTTAGTGATTAAGATCAATCTTTAAATTGATGTTAGCCTTTAATTTCAGAAGTAGTTGGAGGAAGCCTGTTTCTCTTGTTCTAAAGGTAAAATCACTCCTGGCTAAGAGGTGCCCTATTTGATGTACAGATTTAGACTGCATAATAAACATTTTGAAGGTTTTCATGTAGAATTTGAAGAAAATTTGCCACACTTAAAGTCAGTTTAAAAATCTAATTTTTAAAAAATGCATGCTACCCTATTCAGTTTGGCTCAGTGGATAGAGGCCTGCTCACTGTAGGGTCCCACGTTTGATTCTGATTAAGGGCACATGCCTGGGTTGCAGACTTGATCCCAATAGGGGGCATGCAGGAAGAGACAACCCATCAATGATTCTCATTGATATTTCTATTGCCCTCTCCTCTCTGAAATAAAGAATGTTTTCGTATGCTGATTTATTTTGTTTTAGGCTGAGTCCTGAAGTGATTTAGGGTAAAACTAAGAAGTCATAATTTGTCACCCTGTCCTGTACATCCCTAACATCTACCTGGATCCCTGGATATGGGCTATGAGAAGTGTCTGTTGAGATCTGATGTGATTTTCAGCTTGGATCAGGCTAGTCAATACATACGTGTTACAAAACAATACAGGCTGGATTTCTTTGCTGTTCAGTTGCCTTGGTGAGTAGACCTAGAACCTTTAGAGCAGTGGTTCTCAACCTGTGGGTCGTGACCCCTTTGGGGGTCGAACAACCCTTTCACAGGGGTTGCCTAAGACCATCGGAAAACATAATTACATTGTTTTTGTGACTAATCACTATGCTTTAATTATGTTCAATTTGTAACAATGAAAATACATCCTGCACATCAAATATTTACATTACAATTCATAACAGTAGCAAAATTACAGTTATGAAGTAGCAACGAAAATAATTTTATGGTTGGGGGGGTCACCACAACATGAGGGAATGTATTAAAGGGTTGCAGCATTAGGAAGGTTGAGAACCACTGCTTTAGAGTAGAGCAACTTGGGCAGCAGCAACCCAACCTATCTTGCCTGCATTTGCAATTTCAGCTCTGCTTGGCTGTCTTTTCATTCACTGTCTGCAACTGATCTTTGTGTATATGTCTTATTCAACATGATCACCTTTTTATTTACTCTTCAGTCTGAACTGGTTCTATTAGTTCAAGAAATACTCTAGGGATACTTGGTCACCATTGGGTTTCCTAGTTTCTAATGGACTTCGAAGATGGTAAGTATATAGCAAGTTTTTGTATGTACATTACACAGGGTTTATCTGCACTCCGTCCAGTGTACCAACCATCCTACGTAAAAAAGCCGAATATGCTAAGTGTCCAAATGTTCAACCAGTTTCTATGATGCACACTGATCACCAGGAGGCAGATGCTCTGACCAGTAGGTTAGAGTGCTCCTGGGGTCCGGCCGCTCGATTGGGGCCGGGTAAGAGGGGCTGGACATGCCCTGGAGCCCTCCCGCGGTCCTTCCCTGGTCCCGATTGTGCACTGGTGGCGTCCCTTGGGGGATGTTGGAGAGCTGGTTTCAGCTGATCCCCTCAGGCCAGGCCGAGAGAACCCACCAGTGCACAATCCATGCACTGGGCCTCTAGTAATACTACATGGGGCCATGTAGCAAGTTCAATCATTGATTCTCATTATTTCAATTTTATGTCAACCAAGATACTCCAAAGTCCTTTGTAGTTGTCACATTCCTACAGAGTCGCTTTTGAGGAAACCAATAAAACAGCTGGACTGTGAATATTGTTCATAAACTCAGTGGGACTATTACAGTGTGGACAGTGTATCAACAGTTGCAGTTACCTAGTACTGCATAACAAGAGCACTACCAAAACTTAAAGCATTAACAAGATTTGTTTGGCTGATTGGA